TCCAAACTTTATTATTAAAAAGAAAACAAACAAATAAACATATAATTATAAATAAACTTATATACATAAAACACATAACATATACTAACATTAATTACAAAATTACACATAAAACAATACATAGAGCGATTTCCGAATCTCTTCACAGTGAATCTGTTACTATTAATTTACTATTTTCTTGTCTCATTATACTAATTTATACACTTATTCCACTTCTATATTACTATTGCATTAAATATCAGTTATTTTTATATTTTGTGATTCTTCTATGTAACTCAAGAAAGGGAACCATTCTTCCATAAATTTATCCACATCTTTATCTTTTAACTGGTCCATTAACTTTGCCATTTGCGCTAAGTCCAAAACCTTCAGTAACCATTCTTCAATTGTTGGGATGATCTATTTTTGAGTTTCTTCTTGTATGATGCATATGCAATAATATAACCACTTGTATAATCTTTATCATCCTCCCATTCCAGAATTAAGGAACTAGTCACATTAAAATCAAAGTATTACAGTGTCTCTGAACATATCAGCTTTATAAATTCACCATCACTCAATAGAGAGACATTAAAATATAGCTTCCATGTGGTTTAGTAAATTGTTGTAGTGTAAATTTAAGCTGATTGAGCTGTGATCTAATATATAAGAGATGTCATTTGTGCACATTTGAATTTATTGATATAAAGTCTAAAAAAATTATGCTGAGTGAAAAGTATATTCCTGTTTGGGATGTAGCAAATGCTAGAATTCAAATGTAATTTATCCAAGTATGATTTAATTGTAATTCTCATTCATGATTATCTACTTTTATGGGTAGATGTATTCCTACCTAATTCAGGATATAGTATCTCTTTAAAATCTCCCACTACAATAATATGGTCATAAGAGATACTGTTTACATGATGAAGATACTCAAGAGACATGGCGGTGGAGTCTAAAATAAATATTGATCATAACCATAGTTATATCAGTAATTTTATAAACTAGAATTAAGAAATGACATTTATGTCAGTCATAAATTGTTGAACTTGTAAAGAGAAGTGTTTATGATCATAGTGGTCACCTGTTTTGCCCTCACTGAAATATTAAATATACCTGTTCAACCCAGTCAGAGTTTTTATCATCTTCTTTAGATGTGTCTTCTTGTAAAAAAGCAACATCAGCCTTTAAAAATTTGAGTTTTCTTGACTATAGTTGAAATCCAACATATCATTACACTTGTCAGTGTCACTGTTCAGTGGAAATAAGGAAATACTGTATCTTCTCATTTAAAAGCAGAATTTGACTCCCAGGTAATTTTTCAGAATTATGATTTGACCAGCCAAAGTACCAACCATTATTTTATTTTCTCACAGGAGTAAAGCAGGCTTGCTGTGAATTTCTGGAAAGCCAGTTAGATCCATCTAATTGTTTGGGTATTCGTGATTTTGCTGAAACGCACAATTGTGTTGATTTAATGCTGGCAGCAGAGGTTTTTAGCCAGAAGCATTTTCCAGATGTAGTACAACATGAAGAGTTTATCCTCCTCAGTCAAGAAGAAGTGGAAAAACTCATCAAGTGCGATGAAATTCAGGTAAGAACTCGTCCGTTACTGCATAGCAGTTTAAGAGAAATAATATTTAATTCTGGCATGTGATCAATGCAAACCAAACTCAGCCTGAGAATGCAAGCTATATATATATATGGGATTTTTGTATTCTTTATATGTTTCCTATATCAGAAATCTGTCTGATCTCCGATCTTTTCCTTAGTTAAGTCATGGTTAGTCCTACCATTAGACAGAATAAAACTATTCTGAGAGGTAGAAAGAGGAGAGAGCTAAAACTTGGTCCATAGTTTTCTTGATCCATCATTTGACATAATGTGTCAATGTGCTAAGGTGCATAGCTCCCCAAAGTGGCTTGACATCCCATTGGCCACCCTATATGGTCTGTTCAAGTAACTCTTCTTTAAATAATAACATTAAGTTGTGTATGTTAGCTATTATAATTGTGCTATTTATTTTTCTGTCTCATATTCTTCAGAATAAAACCTATAAGCAGTTATTGAAAATTGTTAAAATCAGAAAGAAGCTATTTAGCAGTAAAGAAAGTGTCATGTCGCTACTGTACTAGTAGCATTCCATACACCTTTGAACATATAATAACTGATACGTTTAAAGCAGCCTTTTTCTTTTTTTGCAGTGTGAGAAGATTGTTTGCATGCTAGTCATTCTTGTCTTTTTGTGTTAATTTATTTGCCTAATGGGAAATGTGGGAGGTTCTTGCTTTTTATTCAAGCCCTATTTGAATGCTTCAAAGAAAAAAAAATTGAGAAGAATATTTGTAATTTTTTTTTTATTATTTCTTCCAGGGCTGCCAATGAGAACTGTTCCCCTTTAGAGAGGACTTAAAAAAAATAACAAAAAAGCCCTAAACTCAATGGTCATGTTAGGAACTGAGTCTTCTGCCTTTAGCCATATGACATCTTGGACATTACACATCACACATTTGCACATTATATATATTTGTGACAGTCATAAGACAACGCTACAGATTTCTCTTGGTAGACAGATACTTCTAATATAGGATTGTGGTTTTTTCTAGCAATCATGATTTGCTGAGCAATTTTCCCATTGTACAGGTACAACCTGTATTTGGGCTGCCTGGAGGCTATCTTGAATCATAGCCAACTCTTTTTGCAGAAGTCTGATGAGTCTTGCTTCTTCTGTTTTAGGTAGCTTCTGAAGAGCCTGTATTTGAGGCAGTAATTAATTGGGTGAAGCACTCAAAAAAGGAACGGGAAGCCTCTTTACCAGAGCTTCTGCAATATGTGCGCATGCCACTTCTAACCCCACGCTATATCACCGATGTCATAGATACTGAGGTTGGTCCAGGTTCCGTATTAGTCATCTTTTAGAAATGGTTTAATGCAGCAGTGGTGGGCAACTTATGCTTTTTCAGATGTTGCTGAACTATAGTTCCAGCTATCTATCTATTAACCTTGTCTGGAGAGCTACACTCTAATGTTGCAAGAAAGACCTTGTCCATTATAGTAGTGCTATGTCTGAGAGTATCTATTACTAGTAATATCACTATTATACTACTATCATTTATTCAGTTTGGAATATTTTCTGCTTTTCATGAAATGCTTGCAATTCGTAGTGCTATTGTTCATTGAAGAATGTCACTTAGCAGATATAAGAACATTTGTTTCACCACTGAGAGGAATATTCATGATTTTAAATTCAATTGCAGTGAATACAGATCAATACATCTGTAAAGGCCCCTTCAGACTAATCAAAACTCAATATGCTTTATGTGTGTTTGTGTGTGTCACAATTAAAAAAAAATCTGAAGCCAGTCAACTGCATATAAGAACATAAGATGAATCTTGCAGGATCAGGCCAGTGGTCCATCTTGTACTATGAGTCCCAGCCAATTTGATGCATTTAGGATGCTCACGGCCATGGAGAGAAGGGTGATATTCTTCTTCCACTGTTGCTCCATAGCAGCTGGTATTTAAGGCATATTGTCTGTGATTCTTAAGATAAAAACAGCTATCTAGAGTAGTAGGAACTAAGGCTGTGCTTCAGATTTAATTCCAAAAAGATGCTTCAGAACACATGCACAGCATCTGACTGCAACTTATTAAAGCAGCTGCATGCCTTTCCAGATCATATGGCTCCCTGGAAAAAGACTGTTCTGCTTTAATGAATCACAGACAGGTTCTGCATTTGTGCTTCCATGCACTCTCTGTAACACATTTTTGGAACTGGATCCAACACAACTGATTATCACTTTTCTATGAATTTGACCAGTCCCTTTTAAAACTGTTTATCTCAGTGGCCATCAGTACATCTGTTTCCAGCAAATTCCACAATTAATCATGAGCAGTCATTCCTAACCACAGAGATACCAAAATAGAGAAGCGTTTGTCATACCACAAGCTCTGCCTTTTTGTATTTGTGGAGTCCTTGGTGCTCTCTGACATTTCATTACCCAACTAGGTAACATCATCAGTGCTGGTGAGGTATGTTTTTTTTCCCTTGGTAGTTCCTTGATTAAGGTATTGTTTTCTGCTTGATTGTTTCTCTAGTGTTAATCCTTGCTTATCTGGGTGTAGGTTGTTGGAGAGGATGTGTTCTGGTCTTTTTGTTTCCTTCTTAGCTTTTTTATTGTCTCTTTTGAATGGTGTGTAAAGTGGTTTATCTCTGTGTCCATTGATGCTGATTTGTCTGAATCCCAAGCTTCCAGGAATTCCATAGTATTTTTGGATTTTGTATTTCTATTGAAGCATAGCACATAAGTACATAAGGAATGAAATTCACATCAGAATGCATATTTCATCACAAATCCCCCCATGGTTTCCTGAGTTTAACACATTTTTATTGGTTCTGGTTCTCCCCATGTTAGGTTTCAATGGATACCATTATGTTTTAACACTGAGAGAGGGAGAAAAGCTTTCTGTCCACATTTTCCATACCATTTATGATTTATATTGGTCTGTCATGACTTCCCCTGGCTCCACATTAAAGAAGCTTTGGATACCTTTCTGTCCTTTGGGGGAGCTGTTGCAGTTACTCAGATATTTTGATTGCTCTTTTTCCAACTTTACAATATGATTTTTCAGGTGAAATGAAAGCAGACCAAATATAAATGAATTAGGGCTTCTCTTACATACACCGAGGGTAAAAGTGGCTTTTCCTTATGGTTTGTGCACTGCATCAGTCCTTCAGCGCAGTCTTTCACCAAAGTGGTTTAATCTGGATTAGTGCTTGTGATAGAGGTGATACATGAATGTAAAAGAAATCGTCTAAAACTCAGCATTTTTATTGTAGCCTAATTGTTCAGCTTTAGAATTGGTTCCTTCTGCTACCATAACCCAAATTTCCATATGTCTGTCCTCTAACTATAGTTTTTAAAAGTACTGTTTTAATATAAATAAAAATGTTTATCTTCTTTTTGTTGTTTTGGTAAGGCAGTATGCCAGTATGGTAGGCTTTCTTCAGTCAGTACTAGCTATGAGATTGTTTTCAAAAATTGCAAATTTGTATATATTGTAAAAATTATATAGTCTCGTTATATTTCCCCAGCCTTTTATCCGATGCAGTTTACAGTGCAGAGACCTTGTAGATGAAGCTAAGAAGTTTCATTTAAGGCCTGAACTCCGGAGCCAAATGCAGGGTCCCAGAACCCGAGCACGTCTAGGTAAGTGACAAAAGATTCAAATCAACATTTAAGAAGCAGGAATGTGATGTTCCATTCTTATGTTTATTGTCTTTTGTCAATTGCCAGGTTCAGTGCATAAGAGATTCATAGTTTTATGTTAACAAAAATACTGGGTTTGATAAATTAAAGGCTACATATGTATCTTTCCCAAGGACATGCTGTGTCTTATCCAGAGCTGTGCGTATTATATGGACAAAAAACACTAGGCAAAATTATATATTCTGTGTTTCATGCACCAAAAGAAGAACTTGCTACCCTCAAAGTCTAGCAGTGTATTCTTCTGATTCAAGTGACTGGAATTAAATAGTTGTTGAAAATAAATAGGTCTAAGTATCATGTATATATAATCAGAGATATTTTATACTCTTATGTTTCCATGCAAACAGCAATCTTTTAAAATGTTGAAAAGATCACTTGTTGAAATAATTTTATTGAGTTTCAGACAGGAGAAATCCAGTCTGCTCAGTAAAAATAAATGCAAAATATAATTTAAAAAATCTACTAGTAATCAAAATCCAGTTTAAATAATATTTTAAACTGAGTTCATGTAATTTACCAAACCTTCATAGGGTGAAATAGCCATGCACTTTCAAACCCAAAACATAGATGTTTGAGGAAAAATGATACAAATGAGTATCATGTGCTTAATCATCAGTATGCTGTGTTTAGTTCAAAGGATGGATGGTACTGGCCTTGCTACTTTTATATTTTAGGTGCTGTAGATGTAAGAACTGTTAAGGAAATGTAAATTTGATAAACTGCTAAGAAGAAATTACAATGGCTATTACTGAAATACTGTTGTAGCTTCAAAATTATCTTTCTAATTGAAGCTATTAACTGGATACAATAGAATGAGTTCACCAAAAGCTAGTATAGAACATTGTAGCTAGGGAGCAAATGCACAGCTGCAAAATGAAAAGTAAGATTGTCAGAAAATATCTCACAATTATATGGCTCAAGTTAGCAAGAATAATCAGCTAACTTCTTCTTTGAAAAGAAAGAGAAGAATAATTTGCCTCATGAACAAGCATGGCAATTGAACTGCCCTTCAACTGTGTATTAAATGATGGCTTGATTATTGTTAACCACACTAATTTATCCTTAAAGAAGGGGAACCCAACTATCAACATTTAAAATATTGTTAATAAGTTGAACATATAACCTGTTGAACATATAAATGAAATGCATTGCTTTATTCTAATGCTTGATTAAATTTGTTATAACAGAGATCAGTATGCTTAACAGTTACACATAGTATGGCTTTCAAACAGAAAATAAGGAAGGGGGAGTGGAAAATTTGAACAAAATTGTTCAGCGAAGTAATAAGCTTTCTGGATGGAGATTTTTAAGAAGACAGGAGGACTGTCAAGATTGATATAAAAATAGTTTGTCATTCAAACTACATAGCTCTAAATAAATGTTTAGAGTATTTGTTAATTACTTTTGTTTGCCAATGTTTATATGCTGCCTACTCTTCTGATTCTAGGCAGCTTACAGCATATAAGGTAAAACATTCATAAAACCAATCTGTAAAACCAATAAATAATAAACTATTAAAAACTATAAACCTGTAGCTGTCATCAAACAAGTTCAAGTGCTCTGTTGGAAAACTGTTTCTGTCATCTCCTGAAATATAATCAGGGGAGGGGTGCACCTAACCTCAGGGAGGCAAGACATTCCAGAAGGAATGGGCTATTACTGAGAAAGTCAGTCTCCAAGGCCCAGCCCCCTGATTTCTTTCAGGATGATTAATTGGAGCAGCCTCTTTGCATTAAATCATGTGAATCAGGGAGAATCTACATGAAGATAGTTCCAAAGGTAACAAGGGCCAAAAATGTAAAGGGCTTCATAGATGATCATCAGCCCCATGTATTGGGCATGGAAGCCTACAGCCAACTAGTTCAGCTCCTGCAGAATTGATGTTATTCTTCTAAGCTGGTTAAATACTGGTCAGCAAGCAGGCCACTGCATTCTGTGCCACCTGTAGCTTCTGAGTCATTTTCAAAGGTAGGCCCTGTAAAGTGTAAAGTGAATTGCAGTAGTCTGAGAGGTGACAAAATGTGAGTTACTGTCTTCAACGCCCCTTGGTTCAGGAAAGGGTACAGCTAGTGACTCCACCAAATCTGGCCAAAGGGTCTCCTGGTTGCAGCTTCCAACCACTGTTCCAGCAGGAGCCATAAATCCAAGAGAACACCCAGATTGAGTACCACCACCTTCAGGAGAGTGGTACCTCAGCAAGAGTTATAATAGAACATCCATGGTGCCAGAAAGTTTCTGAACTAAAAGCAACACCATCTCAGTAGGATTCAGTTGCAGTCTGTTTTACCCTATCCAGTCCCTCAGTCTCCAGGCATTGTTCAGCCAGGGTCATGAAGTAAAACTGGGTATCATCAGCATATTGATGATACCTAACCCCAAACCAATGGGATAACCTGTCCAGAGGTTTCATATAGATGTTGAATAAGATGGGGAAGAGAGGGCTAAGCCCTGGGGCACCTCTTCTCTCCCAACATCACCATTTTCCATTCCGGAAAGAGTACAATTAATGTAGAAAAGTGACTCTGATCCCCAACTCTTGCAGGTGGCTCAAAAGTATACTATGGTCAATGGTATTGAATGCCACTGAGAGATTTAACAGGACAAGAAGGGACATTCAATACCCCCACCAGATCCCATTGCAGGTCATTCAGAAAAATGACCAGTGCAGCCTCTGTCTCATGCCCAGGCCCGAACTCAATTGGAAAGGATTCACATAATCCATCTCATCCAGGGCCTTCAGTAATCAAAACCTAATTATCTACAACTTACCTAGAAATGGTGGATTGGAGACAGGTTTATGATTTTCCAGGACTGTTGGATTCAAAGATAGCTTTTTTAAGAAGAGGGAGCACAACCATTTTAAGGGCAGGAGGCATGAGGATAGATTAATAGAACATCTTCATAGCAGTAAGAAAAGGAGTAAGGGTATGCAGCACTTCAGGTCTGAGTGCAGAAAGATGCTTCAGAACATATAGATATGCTCTTGTAGTAAAGGTAGTCCTCAGGTTACGACCACTCATTCAGCAACCATTCAAAGTTAAAAAAGCTCTGAAAAGGGGGGACTTATAACCGGTCCTCATAGTTGTGGCCACCACGGTATCCCCATGATCACGTGATTGCGATCCAGGTGCTCAGGTGCCTGGCTTGCAATTACAATATCGCAGCAAGCCATGGTCACGTAATCACCATTTGCAACCTTTCCTGCCGGCGTCCCACAAGCAAAGTCAATGGGGAAGCCAGCAGAGAAGGTCACAAGTTGTTCCCATAAGTTGCTTCCACTGCTTTTTCTCTTGAGGAGCCATGCTATGGAGTACAAGATCCCAGGTATCTTGTACTCCATAGTATCACACTCGCCCACACTCCATAGCTGCCTCCGCCAGCCCACCCACACTCCATAGCACCAGCCTGCCTGCAGCCCCCACCCGCCCATCTGTGTTAAGTAACACCCCCCCCTTGCGGCTCCCACCAGCCCACTCACATTCAGTAGCACCTGCCCATGGCCCTCGCCACCCTGCCTGCAGCACTCACCTACCTGCCTGCAGCTCTCACCCACTGGCCTGCTTGCCTAGGACTCCAGTCACATGAGGCCCTCTCTTAACAATCTGCATGGTCTCTGGATTACTACAGCTGCTGGGACTACCGGGATTGCCATTGCTAAGCGTTGAGTAGCAACAGAAATTCCTGTCCCAATTGCCATCATAGCCCCAGGACTACCGGTATCTGCTGGTAAATGTATAAAGCAGTCACTCCTTTTCCCAGAATTGCACAGCAGCTGCAGAGGGCAGTCATGTGATCCTAGGAAAAGATTCTGCTCCTTTAAAGAGTTGCAGATAGGTATTATGTGATTTTGTGCTCAAAACTAAAGTGCTGCACAGCCCTAGTAAAAAGTACTCTGAGAACTTTATGCTGAAGAAATTTCCTTCAGGAAAGAGTATATGAACATGATAGAGAATTTGTACTTCTTTATTTAGAATGTTGTCTTTTTTTGCATTTGTCCTGCTTGGTTGCAGTGTCTACATTTTTGCATTGCCCTAACATAGTTCACATATAAAGCTTTCAAAGGGGGGTGGTTTTCAGCTTGCTTTTCTTGACCTTGATTAGGGATGAGAGGGAGTGACTGGTCCAAGGTTATCCTACTGGCTTCTGTGGCTAAGGGAAGATTAAACCCAGATCACCCTGCTCCTAGTCCAGCATCTTTACTACTACACCATACTGTGTTTCAATTTATTTAAAAGTTATTTAATTTTTTATACTGTTTTTATTTATAAAGCTTACTGATGTATGACATTATGGTGGTCCGTTTTCATTTAGGTGCCAATGAGGTTCTCTTAGTAATTGGGGGTTTTGGAAGTCAACAGTCTCCCATTGATGTGGTGGAGAAATATGACCCAAAAACACAAGAATGGAGCTTCCTACCAGTATGTAATTATCTGCTTCATCATATATTTTAAAAATAATAACATGCTTCTTATATACATGGAATATTATTGGATGTCTGCTCATGTCCACTGTGGGGAATTTGCACATAATTCCCTAACGAATGTAAGATTGCCAGAGCACTTTTCCTTAAAAAAAAAAGAAAGAAAAGCAAAATCTCTTTGGCATGATGAAGTTTAGAGCAAAGAAGCAGCAGGTAAAGGGATTTTGCCCTTTTTCCTTGCCCAGTGCTTCTAATTTCACACTGTTCTTTCTGTAGCTGCTCCCCACCAGTAGTGTTTGAAATATGTTTGCTATCAAAACACATTTTGAAAGCTGTGGGTAAAAAATCTGTCAGAGGGAGAACTTCATGAGTATTTGTTTCTAGAAATCTCCATATAGGAAAAGGTATAAAACTGGAATACCCTATTTGTGAACAGTAGAAGATAACTATCTGTCTCCTCCTGTCCGTACTCATCAAGGAAGTAAGACATGTGAACGGATTGTAATACAGATGGGTGCAGACAGGAACAGACTGAAGGTCAAGATGGTCGTTAGTTCACATCTCAGTATTTGTTAATTGAATGAGTAGTGTTAAGCAAACCACCTTCTCGCAAATGCTAAAATTCTGAGAATCTTGCCTTCTAGAACTATTTAAAGGTTACTGAGAAAACCATTATTGTGTATAAGATTCTGAAATGGAGATTTAAGAATGTTCCAAATGAAATACCAAATTTCTTATATTTTCAAAGCAATATAGAAGATATTTTCCTATTTTTTTGTAAGACATTTCTTCTCTCTGAATTGAAACTCTCTGGAGTTCATTGCAATCCATAGGGATCAGGTTCATCTTATGCAGAGAAAACAAAATTCTGCTGCATATTGAAGAGGCAAGCATGGGAAATTGAGTAGTTATTGTTGCAGATGAACTGGACACATAGAAATAAACCCCGTCACATTAGTCCATTATGACTTGCAGCATCTTCTCTATATTGATACAGTATACATTCTTTCTCCCCCATCCTGCATTCTAGCACTAGAAAATTGCTAGTGCCAATTTCTTTTCAAATACTAAACTTGGATTCCATTTTCTCTCTTTTAACTTACATAGAGCATCAGCCGCAAAAGACGCTATGTTGCTACGGTTTCCTTGCATGATCGGATATATGTGATAGGTGGTTATGATGGCCGTTCACGTCTGAGCTCTGTGGAATGCTTAGATTATACTTCCGATGAAGATAGCATCTGGTACTCTGTGGCTCCAATGAATGTTCGACGGGGTCTAGCAGGGGCCACAACTTTAGGAGGTATACGTTGATTAACAATTAGAACCTATTAATGATTATTCTTGGAAAAAATCTACTCTGAAATACATTTGGGAAATAAGCATTAATCCTTCATAACTACTTCCTTTTTTTCCCAACCAAATGGAATATTACGTAAAGGGGCTCAGAACTTCGTTTATCAGCAAAGTAACTCTCCAAAAAAAAAAAAAAAAAAAAAACCAGAACAAAATAGGACACAATTGGTGTTGCAGGAGAAGCCAACAAAAAATAGGCCAGGCCTGGCTGTGGAGAGTCTGTTGGGCAGTGGCTCAGAATTTGGCCTGTTCCTTCTTCCTTTCTATTAGCCACCTGCTGTCAAGCAGTGCTGTTATTAAGGGAGTAGGAAAAAATTCAAGAAGGTATGCTCTGCATGCTTTCCCTAACTTGTTTAAAATGTCATTTGTTTCAGTCAATTAACTGAAAAAAATTAATCTGTTGAAATAGTTTGAATCTGTTGAGTGCCCAAATATAGACATTAGGCTCTTGTTTTTCTCTTCTTTCTATGAAGACATGGCAGGAATGGGGGATGGAAAGTGCCTGTATAGATTCCTCTGATTGCCATATGTTAGGGGGAGCATATACTTATACCTGTCTTGTGCATCTCTACATAGATTTTTTTAATCATTCAGTTACACATGTAAAGAGCAAGTCTGATTTCATTTTGAATGAGAGATTGAAGTGAATGATAGTCTGACTTGGAGTTAATGTCATGTTCAGTACCTTTTATCATATATGAGCCTTTTTTACCATTTTTAAAAAAATCATTTTCACAGTGCATACACCTCTTTCTGTCTATCTAAGCATCCTAAATATACCTTTTGCCTGTTGCAATTTTCAGTTTGTGTACTCTGAAAATATTAGGGCAGAATTTTTGGAGATAGAGAGCCAGTCACTTGTGTGCACAGTCTTTGGTCTTCCTGACTTATTAAATTCATATTAGAGCATTTCAGGGGGTTAATTGGTTTAATACAGAGGTTTGAAAAGTGTAACCCACTAGCATTACTTCTTTGTCCCTCCAGAGTCATGGGTTCAGAAATGTTAACTTTTTTTTGGAGTTTGGAGGAGGGAGCTTAAGGGCGAAAATATTCCATTCCATCTTTTATAAATTCGAAGAAGTGTCCTGGCCCCATCTTCTTTTTATATGTGATCTTCAACATGGCATGGAAAACTTGATCTCTGAGCCAATGGGAGATACACATTCCTGATTTAATAGTAATTCTCTTTGGTAATTTACTTTTCTGCTGAATTCGCCCATTCATCATTTATATTTCTATTTATTTATGAATTTTAATATTTCATTTGAGATACACTGTGAGGTACTTTGGAAATAAAGTAGAATGGTAATGTACATAACTTAATAAGAAAATTAAAAATGTCATAATAAAGAAAAGCCTTTCTTTTGAAATAACTGACTGTGGTTTGTTATGTTATATTATAGACATGATCTATGTTTCCGGAGGTTTTGATGGAAGCAGACGCCACACCAGTATGGAAAGATATGATCCAAACATTGATCAGTGGAGTATGTTAGGAGATATGCAGACAGCTCGTGAAGGTGCAGGACTGGTTGTGGCTAATAATGTTATCTACTGCCTTGGTATGTAACCTCCCCCCCCCGCCCGATTTGGATGTCCTAGTATTAAAAGTGTTTCGTATGCATTCCCCAGCATCCACAAATTCTGTCTTGTATGGGATATATCAAGTATGAAAATGTTTTTACCTGGATGCCTTTAGATTCAAGATTCCACCACTTTAAAATTGTTACTGTAAATAGAGTAACTGCAAGATAGAGCTTGGGAATTGTCAGATTGCATCAGTTCTTTAATATTTGTGAATTTAAGAAATATAAGAAATAACTGCCCTAAATAAATCCTTACTGGATAGTTAAAAGTTTATCAGCATGGTAACATAGTTTCAATTAGAAACAGAAATGTTCTAAGGAGTTTATTTGTAACGAATTAAGGTCTCATTGAATTGGGTTTTATGAAATTAAAATGAACCTCTATCAAATTTCTTGGAACACTAAAGCTAATATAGTCTGACACTATCCTGATTTATGTAAGAAGGAAAGCATTGAAGCCTTCTGGAGTAACCTTTGCTCAACAAGTATTCCTAGATACTGTAAGTTGGGACTACAATTGTCAGAATGTCCAGGCAGTTAATATAGTTTATGTAACAGAGCATAACACTGTATTCACTATAATACTTTCAGCCTTTGTGCAAGGCTGATATTTGTAAATCAAATCAAATCTTTATTACAGTCATAGTCCAGCATAAGGAAAGTGAGGTAAAGTTGTTAAAAAAGCAGAAAAGATACATAAAAATAAAAATCTAAAAAAATTAGGAAAAGCTAGAAGATATAAAAGATACATAATTAAAAACTAAAAATATATATAGAAAGCGAGAATCTAAAAGAAGGGGTAGGAGCATTAGATGGGTGTAGAGGAACATAAAAGGTTAGTATGTTTCAGAAGACTGTATCAAATTACAAAGTACTCTAATGTTGCAAACTAGGTGCTCATTAAATCTAGTTTATACCGCAGGCCATCATCCAACAAATTTTGATCACTGCTGCACAGAACCTGGCAACATTGTATGTTGTAGCAGGGATGGTATTTGAAAGCTACAGGGTGGTGTAAAATTGTCCTGTGTGCCCTGGGTATTTATGCAGTAATGGTGAAATGAGGCTAGTATGAATATCTCTGTAGTACAGGCACTGGAGAAGCACATGCTCTGTTGTTTCTATGTGTCCAGAGTCACGGGGGCGTTGTCTCCTCAAGTAGGGAATCTTCCTGTATTGACCTTCAAGGACAGCGTCACATTGTGCCAGAGCAAAGGCCTTCCTGTGTTTAGGGCTGGTATTTGTAGATTTTTGGCATCCAAATAATATGAAGGAAGGTGGGTAAATTAGGGCCCCTATATAGTACTTTAATATTGCACATCAGTGTGGCTGCAAGTCTGTGTTTCCTTTTTTATTCCCACTATGGATCTTTGTTTTTTTTAATGGGAATTCTCCATCCTGAGTCTGAATATAAAACAAATAGAGTCATTTATTTTGCTTTCTTTTGTGCATGCGTTTAGGTGGGTATGATGGTCTAAACATCTTAAATTCTGTGGAGCGGTATGATCCCCACACTGGGCATTGGACAAATGTGACTCCAATGGCTACTAAACGCTCAGGTGAGATTTCTGATTGGGTTGGGGAACTATGGAATAAAATATAAATGCTTTTTAGACAGAAAAATCTAAATAAGAGGGGGAGAGATAAAATAAAATATGCATATTTCTATAAAATACTTATTGTATTTTATAGTGATCCTATCAGACACATTTAATAGACAGTATCTGTTGAGCAAAAGCATTTTCCTCAGGCAGCCTTCCTAAAAAGTTTTTTTAAAAAAATTGAACTATGGAGCCAGAATTTCCCAAGCTTACCAGAAATCAGCTCTTTCCAACATCTCTTCTAAAATCATCATGTTAGAGCAATCTATATAGCATAAACCACTTATTGTTTCACATTCCATTATGTTTAATAAATATTTTAAATGTGTACTTCCTTGAACATCCTGAAACAATATAACATCTTCATCATGAATTAATTTACTTTTAATTTAAACTTTCAGTAGTAATTAGTGAATATTAAAGAAACAGTTGTTAAAAATAGGAAGGTGTGTGCAGTTGTGGTTGTTATTATTTTTCCCCCACTTTTTAAATTACAGCTCAAGTCAGCAAACATACCTAATACTCCTGCCTCCTGTTTTCCCCACAACAAAAACCCTGTGAGGTAGATTGGGCTGAGAGAGAATAACTGGCCCAAAGTCACCCAGCTGGCTTTCACGCCTAAGGGGTAAAAGTTAGCATGTCTTGCCAAAAGCAAACTATACAGTCTCCTATAACTCCTGGGTATGTCTAACAGAAGGAACTCACTCACCTTGCTATCAGATTTCATTACTTCTTCTTGCAGGAGCTGGAGTAGCCTTGCTGAATGACCACATCTATGTGGTTGGAGGGTTTGATGGAACATCACATCTCTCCTCTGTGGAAGCTTATAACATTCGTACAGACTCTTGGACAACAGTAACAAGCATGACAACACCCCGCTGTTATGTGGGGGCAACAGTGCTCAGAGGAAGGCTTTATGCCATAGCTGGGTAAGCAGATCGTGCTTGTTGATTTAACATTTATGATCCATAAATGTTCTAGGTACACCTGAGGCTTGCTTTGTTTTATGGAACTATACAGGCATGCCTGTCTTTTTGGCTACACCTTCTGAACCACTCCAGATACAGTTTATTTGAGGCATGATCAGAAACAGTGTGCATACATGATCTGTTATCTTATTCAAACCCTTTAAAGTCATTTCTGCTTTGATGCTAACTGCCTTTGTTTATATGGTGTGTATCACAGGCCAATCACATTGCTGCACCTGCTTATATGTTTCTTGCTCCAAATTCCTTAGATCACAGGGCTTCATCTAAGCACCATAATAGTAGAAATAAAACACCTGGAGGGGACCATTTTAGTTAGGCATGTATTTTAACATCTACCTAGTTATTTTATTATGATGTAGGTTTGAAACCAAAGATGTTAGAAAATAATACTATTTTATGTCTACGTCATGTCAGACAGAACCAACAGCTTACTGAAACACATAAGATGACAGTGCATTCTGGTTCCATTCCCAGATTATATGTTACAAAATGCACATTTCCTTGTCCTAAATCTCCTATAAAAATGTAAGATGGCAATTGGTCTATAGTAATAGCATGAGTTTTTGCCATACACTGATTTCTGAAGAGCTTTAAGAA